TGTCTTGAGGGTGTGTGTGAGTGGGGGGTGGCTGTCTTGAGGGTGTGTGTGAGTGGGGGTTGGTTGTCTTGAGGGTGTGTGTGAGTGGGGGGTGGTTGTCTTGAGAGTGTGTATGAGTGGGGGATGGTTTTCCTGGTGTGTGAGTGGGAGGTGGTTGTCTTGAGGGTGTGTGTGAGTGGGGGGTGGTTGTCTTGAGGGTATGTGTGAGTGGCGGGTGGTTGTCTTTAAGGTGTGTGTGAGTGGGGGCGGCTGTCTTGAGGGTGTGTGTGAGTGGGGGGTTGGTTGTCTTGAGGGTGTGTGTGAATGGAGGGTGGTTGTCTTGAGGGTGTGTGTGAGTTGGGGATGGTTGTCCTGGTATGTGTATGAGTGGTGAGTAGTTGTCCTGGTGTGTGTGTGAGTGGGGGCGGCTGTCTTGAGGGTGTGTGTGAGTGGGGGGTTGGTTGTCTTGAGGGTATGTGTGAGTGGGGGTTGGTTGTCTTGAGGGTGTGTGTGAGTGGGGGGTGGTTGTCCTGGTGTGTGAGTGGGGGTTGGTTGTCTTGAGGGTATGTGTGAGTGGGGGGTGGTTGTCTTGAGGGTGTGTGTGAGTGGGGGGTGGTTGTCTTGAGGGTGTGTGTGAGTGGGGGGTGGTTGTCTTGAGGGTGTGTGTGAGTGGGGGTTGGTTGTCTTGAGGTGTGTGTGAGTGGGGGTTGGTTGTCTTGAGGGTGTGTGTGAGTGGGGGGTGGTTGTCTTGAGGGTGTGTGTGAATGGAGGGTGGTTGTCTTGAGGGTATGTGTGAGTTGGGGATGGTTGTCTTGAGGGTATGTGTGAGTTGGGGATGGTTGTCCTGGTATGTGTGTGAGTGGTGAGTAGTTGTCCTGGTGTGTGTGTGAGTGGGCGGTGGTTGTCTTGGGGTGGTGTGTGAGTGGGGGGTGGTTGTGTTGGAGTGTGTGTGAGTGGGGGGTGGTTGTCTTGGGTGTGTGTGAGTGGGGGTGGTTGTGCTGGTGTGTGAGTGGGGGGTGGTGTGTGTGGGGTGTGTGTGAGTGGGGGTGGTTGTCTGTGGGGTGTGTGTGAGTGGGGGGTGGTGTGTTGGGGGTGTGTGTGGTGGGGGGTGGTTGTGTTGAGGGTGTGTGTGAGTGGGGGTGGTTGTCTTGGGGTATGTGTGAGTGGGGGTTGGTTGTCTTTAAGGTGTGTGTGAGTGGGGGCGGCTGTCTTGAGGGTGTGTGTGTGAGTGGGGGGTTGGTTGTCTTGAGGGTGTGTGTGAATGGAGGGTGGTTGTCTTGAGGGTATGTGTGAGTTGGGGATGGTTGTCCTGGTATGTGTATGAGTGGTGAGTAGTTGTCCTGGTGTGTGTGTGAGTGGGCGGTGGTTGTCTTGAGGGTGTGTGTGAGTGGGGGTTGGTTGTCTTGAGAGTGTGTGTGAGTGGGGGGTGGTTGTCTTGAGAGTGTGTATGAGTGGGGGATGGTTGTCCTGGTGTGTGAGTGGGGGGTGGTTGTCTTGAGGGTGTGTGTGAGTGGGGGTTGGTTGTCTTGAGGGTGTGTGTGAGTGGGGGTTGGTTGTCTTGAGGGTGTGTGTGAGTGGGGGGTGGTTGTCTTGAGAGTGTGTATGAGTGGGGGATGGTTGTCCTGGTGTGTGAGTGGGGGGTGGTTGTCTTGAGGGTGTGTGTGAGTGGGGGTTGGTTGTCTTGAGGGTATGTGTGAGTGGGGGTTGGTTGTCTTGAGGGTGTGTGTGAGTGGGGGGTGGTTGTCTTGAGGGTGTGTGTGAGTGGGGGGTGGCTGTCTTGAGGGTGTGTGTGAGTGGGGGTTGGTTGTCTTGAGGGTGTGTGTGAGTGGGGGTTGGTTGTCTTGAGAGTGTGTATGAGTGGGGGATGGTTTTCCTGGTGTGTGAGTGGGGGTTGGTTGTCTTGAGAGTGTGTGTGAGTGGGGGGTGGTTGTCTTGAGGGTATGTGTGAGTGGGGGTTGGTTGTCTTTAGGGTGTGTGTGAGTGGGGGCGGCTGTCTTGAGGGTGTGTGTGAGTGGGGGGTTGGTTGTCTTGAGGGTGTGTGTGAATGGAGGGTGGTTGTCTTGAGGGTGTGTGTGAGTGGGGGTTGGTTGTCTTGAGGGTGTGTGTGAGTGGGGGTTGGTTGTCTTGAGGGTATGTGTGAGTGGGGGTTGGTTGTCTTGAGGGTGTGTGTGAGTGGGGGGTTGGTTGTCTTGAGGGTGTGTGTGAGTGGGGGGTTGGTTGTCTTGAGGGTATGTGTGAGTGGGGGTTGGTTGTCTTGAGGGTGTGTGTGAATGGAGGGTGGTTGTCTTGAGGGTGTGTGTGAGTGGGGGGTGGTTGTCTTGAGGGTGTGTGTGAGTGGGGGTTGGTTGTCTTGAGGGTGTGTGTGAGTGGGGGGTGGCTGTCTTGAGGGTGTGTGTGAGTGGGGGGTGGCTGTCTTGAGGGTGTGTGTGAGTGGGGGTTGGTTGTCTTGAGGGTGTGTGTGAGTGGGGGGTGGTTGTCTTGAGAGTGTGTATGAGTGGGGGATGGTTTTCCTGGTGTGTGAGTGGGAGGTGGTTGTCTTGAGGGTGTGTGTGAGTGGGGGTGGTTGTCTTGAGGGTATGTGTGAGTGGCGGGTGGTTGTCTTTAAGGTGTGTGTGAGTGGGGGCGGCTGTCTTGAGGGTGTGTGTGAGTGGGGGGTTGGTTGTCTTGAGGGTGTGTGTGAATGGAGGGTGGTTGTCTTGAGGGTGTGTGTGAGTTGGGGATGGTTGTCCTGGTATGTGTATGAGTGGTGAGTAGTTGTCCTGGTGTGTGTGTGAGTGGGGGCGGCTGTCTTGAGGGTGTGTGTGAGTGGGGGGTTGGTTGTCTTGAGGGTATGTGTGAGTGGGGGTTGGTTGTCTTGAGGGTGTGTGTGAGTGGGGGGTGGTTGTCCTGGTGTGTGAGTGGGGGTTGGTTTTCTTGAGGGTATGTGTGAGTGGGGGTTGGTTGTCTTGAGGGTGTGTGTGAGTGGGGGGTGGTTGTCCTGGTGTGTGAGTGGGGGTTGGTTGTCTTGAGGGTATGTGTGAGTGGGGGTTGGTTGTCTTTAGGGTGTGTGTGAGTGGGGGGTGGCTGTCTTGAGGGTGTGTGTGAGTGGGGGGTGGCTGTCTTGAGGGTGTGTGTGAGTGGGGGTTGGTTGTCTTGAGGGTGTGTGTGAGTGGGGGGTGGTTGTCTTGAGAGTGTGTATGAGTGGGGGATGGTTTTCCTGGTGTGTGAGTGGGAGGTGGTTGTCTTGAGGGTGTGTGTGAGTGGGGGGTGGTTGTCTTGAGGGTATGTGTGAGTGGCGGGTGGTTGTCTTTAAGGTGTGTGTGAGTGGGGGCGGCTGTCTTGAGGGTGTGTGTGAGTGGGGGGTTGGTTGTCTTGAGGGTGTGTGTGAATGGAGGGTGGTTGTCTTGAGGGTGTGTGTGAATGGAGGGTGGTTGTCTTGAGGGTGTGTGTGAGTGGGGGTTGGTTGTCTTGAGAGTGTGTGTGAGTGGGGGTTGGTTGTCTTGAGAGTGTGTGTGAGTGGGGGGTGGTTGTCTTGAGGGTGTGTGTGAATGGAGGGTGGTTGTCTTGAGGGTATGTGTGAGTTGGGGATGGTTGTCTTGAGGGTATGTGTGAGTTGGGGATGGTTGTCCTGGTATGTGTGTGAGTGGTGAGTAGTTGTCCTGGTGTGTGTGTGAGTGGGCGGTGGTTGTCTTGAGGGTGTGTGTGAGTGGGGGTTGGTTGTCTTGAGGGTGTGTGTGAGTGGGGGTGGTTGTCTTGAGGGTGTGTGTGAGTGGGGGTTGGTTGTCTTGAGGGTGTGTGTGAGTGGGGGTTGGTTGTCTTGAGAGTGTGTGTGAGTGGGGGGTGGTTGTCTTGAGGGTATGTGTGAGTGGCGGGTGGTTGTCTTTAAGGTGTGTGTGAGTGGGGGCGGCTGTCTTGAGGGTGTGTGTGAGTGGGGGGTTGGTTGTCTTGAGGGTGTGTGTGAATGGAGGGTGGTTGTCTTGAGGGTATGTGTGAGTTGGGGATGGTTGTCCTGGTATGTGTATGAGTGGTGAGTAGTTGTCCTGGTGTGTGTGTGAGTGGGCGGTGGCTATCTTGAGGGTATGTGTGAGTCGGGGGGAGTTGTCCTGGTGTGTGTGTGAGTGGGCGGTGGTTGTCTTGAGAGTGTGTGTGAGTGGGGGGTGGTTGTCTTGAGGGTATGTGTGAGTGGCGGGTGGTTGTCTTGAGGGTGTGTGTGAGTGGGGGGTTGGTTGTCTTGAGGGTGTGTGTGAGTGGGGGGTGGCTGTCTTGAGGGTGTGTGTGAATGGAGGGTGGTTGTCTTGAGGGTATGTGTGAGTTGGGGATGGTTGTCCTGGTATGTGTATGAGTGGTGAGTAGTTGTCCTGGTGTGTGTGTGAGTGGGCGGTGGCTATCTTGAGGGTATGTGTGAGTCGGGGGGAGTTGTCCTGTTGTGTGTGTGAGTGGGCGGTGGTTGTCTTGAGGGTGTGTGTCTGGGTCAGGTGGGCTGGTGGTTGGTGACATGGGGTGCTAGCAGGCTTCTGCAGGGCAGTGCCCCTGGGGTCTTGCTCAAGACACGAGTGGTCTGCATGGAGGCAGAATGCCCACATAAGTGTGTGCTTTCCTGCCAGAACAAGCCTAGATGCTCCCCCTGAAGCTGGCTGGCTGCTGCCTGGGCCAGGCCTCCCTGTGGCAAAGCCTCCTGAGAATCCACCCTCTCTCCTGAAGGAGGCTGCAGTTCCAGCATGGAGCCAGGTAGGCTGAGACTGGGGAGGCTGGGGAGGGGGCAGGGAGCTCTGGGGCTGGTCCTGTTGGGACAGCCCTGGGCATCTCCCACCTGGGGTCCCAGCCTTGCTGCTGGGTGGGGGAGAGAGGAGTCTGCTCCCCCTGCTTAAATGCCTGCAGCCTCATCCCCCTCTGAGGAGAGATGCTGTGCTCTGGGAACCGTGGTTTCCCTGCGATGACCTCTCCCTCCTTCCTGACAGACTCAGGGTCTCACACCACAGCAGCAGTGGGGTTACCAACATGTCCCAGAACTGCACCCAGGGGCAGGGGCAGAGAACACTTACCCGTGTTCTCCTGGAGATATTTGCCCAGGGAGGTTTGGTCTGCAGGATCCCGTGCTAATGGTTGCACCTCTGCACAGAGTTCAAAGCTTCCATTTGCATACCTGGTTTAACAAGAGCAATCGCAAACACTTTTAAGTCACACTGAAGTTTACACATTTTGTTCTCCCACACATCATGACATCATGGCTTGGGCTACAGGAACTTTCCAAGAGCTAGACCACAGAGATACTGCAAACCAGAGAAACTATCAAGACTAGCTCAGGGTCACACAGCTCATTGGAGGGGCTGGCTCGGCTTGCACTCGAATTTTCTGACTCTAAGCTGAACCCTGCTTCTATTGTCTAGGAAACGGGAAACCTTGCTTGGTCTCTCTGGGACATTATGAGGAAAGAATCTATAAAAATACTTGTTAAGACCTTTGTGAATTCAAAGTGCTAGGTCAATGCTGAATAATTGATGGCTCTGCTCCTGTGCTCAGGGCTGACGCACAGGCCTCCTGTGGAGAGGCTGGGGGTGTGGGGACCTGTCCTTTTTGTCCTGCCTGTTTGGCCCAGTGAAAGGAAGAGCTGGGCTTTCCTTCAGCCCAGAGAAGCCCTGACTCCTGGGAGCCATACATCTAATTTACGGCCTCCCTAGAGGACAGGAGAATGCAGAGGGCTGTGGGGGACTCAGTCTCTATGGTGTCCCCTCCAAGGCCCTGGGAAAGGGCTGCTCTGGCAGGCAGGAAGAGAGGTGCCTGAGAACCCGAGGGTCAGTTCTGGGGGTGGGAAGTGGCCGTGGGAAATGCAGAGAATGGAGGGGTCCCCTTCATAAAAATGCTTGACCAGGCAAGGATGCCCAGGAGCTGGCTAAGGCAGCCTGTCCTTGTCCCAACCAACTGCCACAGGTGACCACGGGACTTTTCTAGCCAAAATTCACGGTGGCAGTGGGCATTAGGGCACAGAAAGGAGATATAGGGTGGACTTTAAAACAGTTTATGGAGAGGAAAGCAGAAGGAGCTCAGGTGGGCGTCCTGGTTATGTGAACAGGAAACAGTTCCCAGCTGACTGAAGCTCAGGCACCATTTCACAGCGAAGGGCACTGTGGCCCACCAGAGTCTCCCAACTGGCGTTTGTCTCAGCCCTCAGAAAAGGTGGAGTTGGGCCTATTCGAATCCACAGGACAACCGACTCCAACTTCAAATAAGCAAGATCCACAAGCTCCAGTTCAAGGGGGAGTCTGTCCTACCTGATCTCTGTCTTATTGGGCAGGTTCCAAAGCCCAGTCACTCCGCAGGGATTTCCTCATGGGCTGCGAGGTGGCGCCGTGTTACTGGAGTCCTGCACGTCCATGCTGGGCCTGGGTGTGCTGACCTCTGGGCGGCTGGAGGGTCTTCCTGGTGTCTGGGTGGGGCTGGACCTAAGGATGCAGTGGGGTTGCAGTGTGGCCTGCAGTGGGTGGCAGAGGCAGTGCTGTGCCCACCTGGGATGTGGAGGGGACATCTTCCTGAGTCCCCCTAGGCAGGACAGAGAACGGGCTGTGGGACGGTACTGGCCCTCTTGTGTCAGTGAGGAGAGAATGTGGCTGGGCTTCTGCCTGAGCTGCCTTCTGCTTTCCTCTCCATAAACTGCTTGAAAGGCCACCCTATATCTCCTTTCTGTGCCCTAATGCCCACTGCTACTGTGATCTTTGGCTAGAAAAGTCCTGTGGTCACTGTGGCAGTTGGATGGGACAAGGACAGGCTGCCTTAGCCAGCTCCTGGGCATCCTTGCCTGGTCAAGCATTTTTATGAAGGGGACCCCTCCATTCTCTGCATTTCCCACCCCCAGTACTGACCCTTGGGTTCTCAGTGGAATGGATCAGACACAGTAGAAAGACATGGAGCAGGCTAGGGAACGGGCAGAGCTGGGGGCAGACCCACCAACAGCTGGTTCTATTACATTGGTCAATCAACCCCCATAGGCCTCAGGTTGCTCACCTCTGAAATGGAATCTTAACGGACCTACCTCACAGTCTGGGAGGACCAAAGGAGGCGAGGTGAGTGTAAACAGTTACACCTAGAATGGGACTGCCACCGTTTGCTCTGGATGGTGCTTGGCTGGCACTCTCCTGGGCCTGTCACATGGTAAGAGGCTTCCAAACTACTAAAGTTCACAAATGCCTGTCTGTGCACTCCAGAGTGTGCAGAGCACCGTCTTGCTTTCCCTCTGCACTAGGGCTGCACACATTGCACCCCTCAGCAGCCCTGACCCGACTCCCTGTTCCTCCAGGCAGGGCCGTGGTCTGAGGGTCCTCAGCACCATGCATATTATTGATCCTAAAGTTATTGATAGGATATGTTCTATATGGTTTCACTGGGTGAGCTGAAACCCAGGGGCATTCAAATTGAGACCCTCTTTCCCTAGTCTCACAGATGAAGCCCCCACTCAGGCAGGTACGAGCTATCTTTATCTCTGGGCAGCTCAAGGCATTTGGTAATCAGCAAAGCGACTGTCTCTTGAAGATAGAGGTGTTCGAGGTGTTGACTGCTCAAATGAATTATTGGACAGCTTGACCCTGAAAGGAGCAGGTGTAAGGCCTCCAGGGAGGGGTGATCAAGGCACTGGGAGACAGACTGCTGGCACTTCACCAAGCCCCCAGGACCAGCTAGCTAGCTGTCTGAACCTGCTGGACCTGTGTGCAAATGGATGTCTCCAGGCTGCCTGCACTTGTGGCAGAATTCCCTCTACGGCTTGCTTTCTCTCCAACCTGATAATAGGGTCATCTTCACCCTCCTCCCGGTTTCCAGCAGCTGCTCCCAAATATACAAAACAATAGGATGACAACACAGTCAGCCTCCAGCCTCTGCCGGCTCCCCAACAGGCTCAGCTTGGTTCATACCTGTCTCAGTGTCCCTGGGGCATAGCACTTGAAAGCTCAGAGGACAGAGGCGGCTGGTGTTATTTTTTTACTTGCTGGTGACTGGGTAGGGTGGGGTCAGAAGCAAGTTCCTAAGTAGCCTTGCTGGTACAGACCCTCATCCAGAACATTCCTGGGTACTGAACACCTTGAGGGCCCCTCTGACCCTCCACTGCCATTCCCACTCTGCTGGCTTCCTGGAATGAGGAAATGCCCCACCTTCAAGATGCCCGGAGCTGTGGTCACCTTGGAGGCCACTGCCTGAGCCCATTGATGCTTGTTTTCCACCTAGAACTGAGCTCTGGCTTGAGCCAGCCCTCCAGGTCCCAAGGGACAAGCCCTATAGGGAGCTTTTGGGATCCATTGCCCACTTTCACATAGGATCAGAATGCCCTGAAAGGAATCCCTGGCCTCACGGGAGAAACTCTCCGGGGAGGTAGGGAGCTCAGCCCATGAGCCCACGAGAGAAGCTGAACCCCGACATCTCTTGGGTCTATGCCAAGGCTGCTGGGGAGGAGGCTGCATTGGACTGCACCCTGGGAACTCTGGAAGGGAGGGCCAGGTCAAGGCCATTCAGCCCAGGAGATAGCTAACTAGAGGGAGCTCCCACACGGCAGGGGCTTTGGCATGAGGGGGCCTGATGCCAGAAAGAGCTCCCCCGAGAGGAAGGCCCCCCCCATGCCCACCAGAGTCGGGGCTCCTGCCCAATGCACTGCTCTCTCTGAGGAGCTTTGCTGTGGGTGAGCAGCAGGTCTGGAGTGCCCGGAGGAAAGGGGTTGACTGGGGGCAGCACAGCCTCTGACTCTCCTGCTCTCTTCCCTCTCTAGGACTTTCCTCCCTTCTCAGGAGAGAAGTGTCAGTGGTCAGGTGGGGAGGACCTGGCCTTCAGTGGGCAGGGCAACTGGCCTAACCAGGGAAATCTGAGATCCCAGTCTTCACTCCCTCCAGCTCCAGCCTCTAAGGCAGCTCAGAATCGACAGGTGCCTGTCAATGAGCAAGACTCACCTGCCACTTTCCTGCAGTCTCCCCCTCCCTGCCCACGCATCCTGCTTCTCTTAAGCCCCACCCGGCCCCTGTTCTCAGCCATCTCACCCTTCCCTGGTCTGCTTCAGAATGGGCCTGTCTTCACCCCATCCAAACCCCAGGATGTTCTGGCATGTTTAATGCCATCCACCGGTTACTTGTAAGGGACATTCATGAGGGCACATGAGGACTCCCCAGCTCCCATCTGTCAATCAAATAATCGTTTATCTTCTACCTTTGCAAGCAGGTCGATGTCCCAGGCAAGCAAAGAGCCACTGCTGGGCTCCCAGAGGGCTTGGGAATTCCAGGGGCTCCCATTGGGTCATCAGGGTTTTCCAACAGCAAGATTTACCTAGAGCACACACACGCCCCAGTGCGTGAGCAGCCTGACAAGTGGTTTTCCTCCTCACGGGCCTGGGGCACCGTGGGTCTTTTTCTCAGCAAACAGGCACTGCCGTAATTGATTTCAGTCCTCTTGGAGGGAGGCCAAGCTGGTAGATATGGAAGTGGGGACTGGTCATTTAGTGACAATCCATGCATGTAATCAAGAGGACAAGAAGGACGGGAGCAAGTGTGCAGGGAGTTGGGTATCTGTGGGTCAGAAAAGAGAAGGGTTTGAGCGAGGACACTTCTGAGGCTGGCCAGGCCTGATGGCAAAGGCTTCTAAGCTCCTCAGACAAGAAATGGCTTTGCTGGCTCTAAAGGTTCCCTTAGATGGTGGGGACCTTCCTAGGTTATAAGCACCGCCAGCCACAGGGCTCTCATTTCATCTGGTTGTGACTGGCTCCTTCCCACTCTCTGGGCCATGGAGGCCTTGGGTCTCCTACAGTGACCTTCCTTCTAGCACTGCTCCAGGAGCCCTGGTGGCCAGGCACAGGAATCTCTCTGCTCTCTCACCAGCCACAGGAGCTGCACCGAGTTACTTAACTTCTCAGACTCCCTCTGACAAAATGGGGATAACAATGTCCCCTAGAAGGGAGATTTGTGAGGACAAGTGACCAAGGATGCCAAAGATTCTCAGCAGTTTGTGCTCCTGGCTGTTTGCCACGCCCCTTTAAAACCAGCTGGGAGGAGCTCCCGACCTACAGACTTGGTCAGGCTACAGGCTGGGCCACTGGGCTTTCCCAGGGCTTTGTCCAGCACTTACTGAGCCTGGGGCGTGGGAGAGGGGCGGGACTGTCTCTGAGACATCCAACCGAAGCTGCTTTGGAACCACTGTGGATGGGGACCTGATAGGCAGTTTATGGAAACTTGATTTGGAGGACCTGCTGTGGGCAGAAGACAGCAGCCAGGACCCACCAATCTAGAGCCACCCCACCTTCTAGGTCTTCCAGGAGGACCCATGTACACCAGACTGGAACAGGCAATAAGGGGTCTTCAAGAAGCAGCAATCCTCCTGACTTGGTTGAAGGGACCCCCCACCCCCATGCAATCTGTGGCCCCTTGTCCTGGTGACCCTAGGTGCCCACCTTCAGGACTGACCTGCTCATTCCCCAGGCCCTACGGTTATGCCTGGTCCCTTGAACTAGCCTGGCCTCAGGCCTACAGCACCCTCCCCAAGGGCCCTGGGCCCCTTCCTGGGGAGGGATTGCATCCTTGGGGCCAGGAACTTCCATCCCGCCCCCAATGAAGTCCACAGACAGGGTGGGAGCGGAGGTCACCAGCCGTCTGAGCAGCCCTGAGTGGGGTCCCTCCCTCAAGACCATGGGCTCCTAATCTCCACCAGGATCTTAGCCCCGCAAGGGGCCAGCAGAGCTGGGCGCTGCGGGACGCAGTCCAGCGGTGGCTGCCCACTCCTCGCTGCCACGGGAACAGGTGGGGACGCACGGCGCTCCTGCGGGCGTGTCCCTTCCAGGCCGCGGGATCGGCTGCTCCCGCCGCCCGCCCTGGTGGGAGTGGAGCCCACTGCCAGCCCGCGCCGCCGCCACAGCCCCGTCACCGTCCCTGGGAAAGTCGCCGCGCGCGAACCCACCTGCGGGCGCCCGAGGCCCGTGGCGCCGTCGCCAGGTCCCCGGCGCTCTGCGCGCCCGCCTCGCTGCGCCCGTGCGCCCAAGATCGCCCGGCACTATTCTTTTTGAAGGCAGCCTTCGGTGCGTTGCGTCAGGGCGGTTGCCTGGCGACGGCCGCGCGAGCCTCCCGCCGCGACGCCCCGGCCTCCCATTCAAGCCCCGGCCCGCTCGGCCGCCCCGGGCCCGCCGGTCCGAGCGCGGCGGCCGGGTCCTAGAGCCCCCCGACTTCACCCTGCCCGGGCGGCCACAGCCAGCGAGAGCAGACCAGCCGCGCGCACTTGCCAACCCCCAGACGAAACCAAACCCAAACATCCAGTTTTTCATTAAGCCCGAAACCAAGGCAGCTTCCCCCCAAACATGGCAACGTGGCTTTGCCACTGTCAGCAGTTTGCCTGCGTGGAGGGGGCAGGGGAACCCCACGCCCGAGCCTGCACTCCACCCACAAATGACTGGGGTTCCTAATCCCAGCAGCAACCACTACGTCTGAGCGCCTGACGTGCGCCACACCCTCGCAAGCACTAACCGGACAGATGTGAAAACCACCGGCTTACAGAGGAGGAAACGGAGGCTCAGAGAGGTTACGGAGAAGCCAGAGGGGAGTAGTCCGGGTAGATGGATCTGGATGGAGCCAGTTTTCTCCACGTTCATCCTTCAGTGGCACCAATCGCTTCTGTACTTTTAAGACTCAGTCCTTGCCCTGTCTGAGCCTCCAGCTGCATGAACTGCATGTACCTAACACAGGTACATGTCAGCGGCTGGGGATGCCCCTTCTTGCAAGCCTTTAGGACTGATCCTGGCTGCAGACAGAGTCGTCTGATGCCGGAAGCTCTGCCTTCTGCAGGACTCAAGTTTCAGAGCTGATTACTGGAAGTTGGCCTCATTCTCCCAGACCTTGGGAAGCACCTTTCCTAGATGCCTGAGGGTAAAAGGGTCACACTCCTTCCATTCTCTATCTCATCTCCCCTTTAACCACCCACAGGTGCCTTCTTTTCCCTTGGCCCACGGAGGTGCTTGAATAGGAGATGCCCCTTGCCCTTACCTGCTGTGCTAGAAAATAACTTGGGGGATGACCTTTAATTTGACCTTCAACTCCAGACACACCCCTCTCCCTACCTACCACTGTGTCTTGGCTCTGCGTGGGCTGAGCTCTGCACAAGGGTTTATGAATATGGACAGCAAATCATTCAAACACAAAAAGTTGCAAGTTACATTCAAACCCACTGATGACCTGTGTGTTCCTCCTGTCAATCACCAGGCATGATGGCAGAGAGGTGCAATGTGAAAACCTCAGCATGGAAAATGGCTCAATAACATTATTAGTGTATTTCAGGGATTTTGTGTGTCAAGGGGTGGGGATTTCAGATTACAGAGCCACTGCATGGAGATGGGAGGATGGAATTTACTTCTCTGGGAAACCAGTAACCAAGAGACCACCAGACAAGGATTTGACCTGGTCACTTCAGGTCACAAACCACTTGGGTCACTTTCTTTGGAATGTCACCTGCAGCCCTCTGTCACAGGCCAGAGGTCCTCTCTGGCCTGTACATGTTGATGGGAGGGGAGCTCCTTCAGCAGCAAGCAAGCAAACCCTGGAGCAGCAGAAGTTCAGGGGCTTCCCTCCCACCGGCCACCCCTCTCAGGTCCCCCTGTTGCATTCTAATTTCCAGCTACATCAAGGAGAAGAGAAGGATAAACTCTACCTTTCACTTTGAAGGTTTTAAAATTTAAACTTAAAATGTCTATCTTTCAGCATTTCTCCAGATTCATTTATTCATCCATTTGATAAACACTGGTCTACCCTTTTAGGGAACAACATAGATAAAGACCACTGCCCCTGAGATCTAGTACCCTAGCAGGGGAGGGGGAGGACAGTGAACAGTAGGTATGCTAGATAAATTAACAATATTGTTGTAGAAAGACGAAAATGCAGACTTGGATTGGAAGTAATGGTGGGAGTGGAGGAAGACAGCACTTTAAAGCAGGGTGGTCAGGGAGGATCTCATTAAAAAAAGGTGTTTTTTGAGCAAAAATTTGAAGATGAAGAGGTTGATCTTGAGGTGTGGGAGAAAAGGCATTTTAGTAGAGAAATAGGCTATTCAAGGTCCCCAAGCAAACAAACGTGCCTTCCATGATCACAGAGCAGCTAGGGTGCCTCTCGGCTGGAGTGCAGTGATCAGGGAGTGGAGAGGATTGTGGGAGATGAGGTCAGAGACAGGGCAGGGCTGGTCTTCCCTCAGGGGACCACAGAACAAACAGCTGGAGAGAATCTCTGCCCTGTTAGCAGGGCACAGAGCACTCTAAATCCTTCTCTCCTACTCTGCTTGAATTTTTAAGGGACTCAAGACAAACTCCATATCTAGTCTCCTGGCATCCCTCTCTCACTGTCCCTATGATTTGCTCCATATTTGCTGGATGAGAGAAAGAAGAATGACATTTTAGTTTGACTCCATGATCCAGAGGAGACTGAGTGGGTGACATCCTTCCCCGCTCCAGGGAGAAATTAGGACTGGGCCAGAGTTCACGTGCTTCTGCCATCTGCCTTTGGAAGGGACTTTTCCACTCGGGAGAGTAGTGTGGTGTGGGTTTCAAGAGGAACCAGGAAGTGGCTGTCATTAGGCGTGTTTACCAGCAATAATTCCTTGTTGCCCTGCTATCTAAAAAGGGGCTGATTCAGCCATGAGGGCGAGCTTCCTGACCTGTAGGGAACCTGTCATGTCCACTCAGGGGCCACTCTGTGCCACCCAGTGCTAGGCACCAGGGAGCACAGTGCACACAACTTACTAGTAGGAGAACTGAGCTTCCCCCTTGGTTCTGGGTCAGGGAGGTGACACATGTCATCTGAGTCCTGCTGAGAGGAGAGGGATTATCTGGGGAGGGTGGGGGGAGTCCTGAAGGTGGGCCAGGATGGAGCAGTGGAAGGTACTACATAAGCCATTCATGCAGAGCAGGAGGGCCTTCCGTGGGGCTGGGGTCAAACTTTGGGGACTGTTTCAATCCTCAAGGCCATGGGATTAGGTCAGGTTCAAGGTGTCAAGGGAGCTGAATGATGAGGCCTGGGGCAGGAGGCCCACAGACATGGCTTCCATTTTGCCCGAGGTGATTGCCATCCAAATTGTGGTGGGAGCAGTTTATGGACTGTGGCTGGTGGCATTTCCCAGGTGATGGTGACAATGGGACCGCAGATGGTGACAGGAATCATCAGGTGACAGGCAGGCAGCCCAGGGATGAAGTCCTGGCCCTGTTGGTGATTAGCGTGTGTGGAGCAGTCTCTTGAGTCTGCAGTTACTTCGTGGGTGGGATGGACTCGAGGCATGAGCCAAGGGGTCTGCCCCGGATCTGGGCTGTAGACACCCTTGCTGTTGGGGACCTGCCACTCAGAGCCCACGCCCTCCTTTTGCTCTGTGCTCTAGGTACCAGAACCCAGGAATTTCCATTCCAAAGGGCCCACACCCCAGCCTGTTCAGCCTTGTCCCTAGGCTGTGAGGCTGGGTGGAGGCTGGAGTCGTAGCCTGGGGAGCCCCTCCACCAAAGGACAAGTCCCTGGGGTGGGAAAGGAAGAAGAGACCATGGACGGGGGCTGAGGCCTTGCTCCCCATGTCCCTCCAAGTCCCAGGAATCCAAGGCGGAATCAGAGTCTAGCCTTCCAGGTTGTTATAAAGGTACATTTGTTAAGGCAGAAGGGAAGAACAACCCTTATTTCACAGGTATCGGCTTGACTTATAATGTTCAAATATTTAGACACACGGCATGTGGGCCTCCTCTTATGCACTTGCTTTGGACCTCTCAAATGTCAGGGACAGGCGTGATTACAGCCCATTCTGCTGGTGTGTTCAAGGAGCAAATGACATACACCATGCACATAGGCAAGAGCGTCGCTGTCCTCCTCCCTCTCAGCAGCATTGTGGCCTCTTGGGACTTGCTCTCTCCTAAGAATCATCATCGAGAAAGTGTTTCCAGTCACCAGCACGTGCCTAGTGACAACTGGACGGAGGCCTCCCTGGCATGTACAGCTCTTGAAGGAAATAAAGAATGTCACTGTTAATGGAGGTGGTGCACAACCCTGATGGGTGTGGGACGGCCTTCCTGATGTTACTCTATACATCAGGTCTACCAAGGAGACTGGCTCCCTGAATGATGGAAGGATCCCTGGGAACGAACCAAGAGATCCAGGGTCTCGTTTCAGCTCCGTTACTAATTAGACCTTGGCCACATCAATGTGCTGCGCTGGTTGGTCCCTCCTCACTAGAACAAAGGTACGACTCTGGCACCCTCTGACCCCAGCTCCTTGGCACCCACCACCTAGAATCCTTCATGATGGGCAGTGGAGGAGACAGCACCAGAAACTGCAAAGTTGGAACTTCATGGGGACATCACAAAACTGGTCCAGCAAGACAGAGCTAGGTGGAGAGAAGAGCTTACTCTGGTACCCACAGGAGAGCTAGCCTTGGGGCGCTCAGGAACAAGGTGGGGAGAGGGCTCTAGGGCTGGGGGAGCCTGTTTATCCTGTTCCCTGCTTTAAACTCAGGTAGTGTGGCCTTGGACCTGCAGGTAGGGCTCAGAATTTGAGGGCCTCAGTAGAATTCTGCTCCTTAAGGAAGCTAGGACAGAGATGCCTGACGGCTCACCCAGCTCAACAGTGCTGTTCCTAGCAGAGCCAGCA